AATTCAACATCCAAATCTGTCAAAAGAATTCTGTCTGCCTAATGAAAGACAAAATTGTTTGAAAAGAGCTGAACGGTGACAAAACGAAGACAGCCTTTTCTAAAAGCAGAGATGATGAACATGCCTGGTGCTCAGCTCACTGTGGGAATGATAGTGTTTTGAACCCCAAGCTATGCACGGTGACTGTTAAATTGATTTCAAGAGGGTGTTAAACTCCAAAGCCATGGCATTGATTTGACTTAGTAAAGATTGTTAAATAAGGAGAGTAAACACATGAAAAAGAAAATAGAAAATGTTTTGGATGATTTAGAAGAAAGCCATGGGGCAATGACACCAGCAAAGCCCAAATGAGATGAATCATAAGACAGTAAAGGAGAAAGGCATTTGAAGTTGCAGAAGAGAAATGCAGTCCGATGCTGAGGCCCTGGAGCACAGCTGTATCTGTTGAGAATAACATTATTTTATTTGTATACTTAGTAAAGCTAGAGGCTAACAAGTGAATAATCGTCCTGCAATTCAAGATACATATTAGTTTGGTTCGGTTAAAACTTGCTTAGGGACTATTGTTAGCTTTCTGATTCTCTTAAAAGCATTAAGATTGCATTTTATATTTGGTTATGTGATTTTTTTTAAATATATATTTTTTAACTCCATGCCATTTTCATCACTTGTCTTTGTCATTATTTGCTATTGATCCAGATCAGAATATTGCTTTTTGTATGTAGAACTAAACAACTAGACGGTAAAAGAAAGAACAATTTAAAGTTATATCTAGGTCTAGGTCAATGGAGACTTCCCTAGTAAATAACTAAATAATGCCCCAAGTGTTACAGTACATATTTGTTTGTTTATTTATTTAACAGTACAGTCGATTACAAGGAGACTTTGACATCATTGTTCTCCCTTAATGGGGCCGTTTCAGTTCCAGAGACACCAAATTACTTCTTGAATACAATTAATTTCAAAACTTTGTTTTACAGAGCTTCTAAGATTTGAACACAGAATAGAGGCAGAAATCCACATGAGATGTAATATAATTTGGCAAAAGATTTTTTCCCCATCCAGTTCTGGTCCCATTGAGCCTTATCAAAATCCACGAAACTGCTCCACCCTTTCCCTATTTTTCAACCACATAATTAATTACCACACGATACTAGAGTATATAGGCCTACTTAATAAAGTTAATTAGATTCTATCCTGTATGATACAACCTTAAAATGCTTTTGTTTTGACAAATACTTCAAAAATAAATAAAAATAAACTTATTTTCAGTGCCCAAATCAGCATTAACTCTTCGCATTAAGACAACGCTTCCCCCCCATTAAAGGAAATTTCCGGCTTTCCGTGTTTTCACTGTTATAAAGTAGGGGGCACTATTAAACATCTTCTGAAAGAGTACTGAATATCCTGATCAAAACACAGGCGAAGAAGAGGCAGATAACAAGCGATAGCATATGTAAGCAGATGCACATGTAAAATAATGCAATAATCAACATTAAACAGCATATAAATCAAAACTGCCAAATGTTACCGAATGAAATGTCGACCCAGAACAAGCTATATGACTGTGAAGCTTTGGGGGTGTTGATGGACTCAATCTACTCTATGTTTTAATCATCGTTCTGAAACTGATCCAGACGTAGTCTTTGACAAAAAATTCATTTTTCTCACTTTTTTGCCAAAAATGTTGCTTTTTATGAAACTTACCCACATCCAAGTGTTGATAAAACAAAAAGATTGCACAAAGCTAGAATAAATTGATGTTTTTTTTGTTTTGTTTTTAAAGCAAAGGCTCTATTCTTTCTTTTGATATAGAAAGAGGCATGTTCAGATATTCATACAACAAAATATTCTGGGGGCAATGAAAATTTAGTGAAAATGATCAAAAACACTGGCGGTGGCTGGCAACTTTTTTTTTTTTAAACGCTGGTGTTTAGCCAGCGCTGGTGTTTAGAGTTAATAATAAAAGAAAAGAGTACAACACTAAAATAATCTCCGATGCAATTTATAAATAATGTGACCTTTTTTGTAAAGTTTTACCTTATTTATAACATTTTCTATATTTATGTGCCTTATTTTGACTGTGCAACTGCCATAATCTCCAAAAGATTCAAACTAATTACTGATGATAATGTGAGAATCAGGAAGATCGCGGTTAACAGACTGTTTACCTGAACAAACAAAAATCACTATCACAATCTTTTTGACAGCAATAAGTTTTAGAAACACATTTATTTCAAAATGTATTCACATGAAAATGTGGAAAATAATCTCACACATTGCAAGTAAGAATCAACCTTTATATCTCTGAATAAGTTGTCTTTCACACATCCAAAAGAACCAGCTCATTCGCTATCGAGGACGACACAAATCAAGCCACATTCAACCACCAGCCCAGATTTGAAACTCCTTTGAAAAATATTATTGCAGGAGCCTCATCAGCCTCCCAGACATCCAGGAACCTTTGACAAAGATCTTTTCAGCTCTAATTTAACTGCTGTTTCTTGGCTCATGTCGCTTGTCTGCATTGGCGGGTCTACCTGGGTGTTTGATGAGGAAGCGCAGGCTGTCTTGTGTGAATGAATGACAGTGGATTGGCTGGTAATGAGAGGAGGAACGGCGGGTTGAACCCTCCTTGGGACTTGCACTCACGGGTTTTGTGCTAATGAAGGCCAGAGCTGGTCAGCCCTATAGTGCTCAGGAATGTGACTCTTCAGGTAGGGAGGTGGAAATCATTTTTACACCACATGCCTATCACGCTGGGGTCTTAATTGCTGAAGATGGGGGTAAGATAGATCCGGAATACATTACGAAGCGCCCACAGAGCGTGATTAATGGGCTCGTAGGATTTTCACAAACTGCTAGTTGAACTCAAGCGTAGCTGGTGTGGATGACATTCATAAGGTTGAGGTGTGTGAGCTGTAAAAAAAACACCACTGACTTCAATGAGAAGACTCAAAGACATAGGGTCTTTGCACTCTACCCTATTCACAATCACTGTACAAACAGTGAATACGAGCTGTTTTAAACCTGTATGACTTCTGTGAAATACAAAAAAAATCATACAATTTAAGTAGGGGTAAAGTGTTGTTTTACCTTCATTGTATGGACAAAACATTGTTCTCTTACACAGGACAAAGAAAGTCATCCAGATTTGGAACAACGTGATGGCGATTAAATTATGACAGTTTTGGGTAAACTAGATTTATGCACACATTATCTTCTACCATTTTGATAAAAGAGTCCATATAAAGTCAACAATGACATTGAGATTGAAATTGTCAATTGAACAACCAATTCAAAATGGTTTGAAGGAATAATAGCCACTTTTCCACAGTCGGGCCAGTGCGAGCCAGGGCTAACAATGTGCCGGGCGGGGGCCAATAGCCTCGGACCTCAAGCACCAATCCCCAAATCAAGTTGTGTTTCCACTGTCAGGCCAGTAGCCCCACAGCACTGCCCTAAAACCCGCCCTTAACACACCTCCATAGAACAACGTCACACAACTCCACTGTTTCACCAGCTGACTGTAAACTAGTTTCACAAACTCGTTGATTGCAAAATGAGCATGACAGAAGCGAACGCTTGGTCTTTAATTAAAGACTTAAGATTCCAGCATCGATATTTGACCAATATTTTACAGTAAAAATATTACAGTGACAGTAATTTATTCATTTGTGTCAGGAGTGCACATCAATCATGCTGAATCAAACTGGTATTTACCATTTCACATAAAAAGAGAACACATACCTATTCGCTTGCGCCTGATTCCATATATTTGTGATCACAAGAATCCACAGAGCAACTCCATTAAGGCTTTTTAAAGGCTTACACATTTAGAAAAATATTGCTAAAATATCATGTTAACGTCACATTTCTTTAGAAAGAAAGACTGAACATTTCTATAAATTTTCCACTAAATTATGCGATCTGATGAGGTTTGAGTGACCTCTCTCGTCTCTCTAAACTGTTACAGGAGTTTTTATGTATACGAGTTAACCATAGTGCATGTTTTTTTATGACATATGCAGATGCATTAGTCCAGTGTTAACAAAGGCACAGGGAAGAGACAGATAAGACATTAAACTAAATAAATACATGATTATAAAATACATGATTTGACTACGTTCTACAAGCAGTCTCTGATATTTTCCATAAACATGTGTATTTATTATCGCAATTGTTAGCATAAGTAGCCTTTTGCATCGCATATAAATATATTTGTGCTTCATCCAGTGATCAGAATCCCCATCGGATCGCATGGAGGTTATTTTTAAACATTCGCTGGTGTCTAAAAGTGAGTTTTGAGCTGCAAATTGTTTAAAATGTCTTAAATGTTGAAGTTAGCTGGTAGCCTGATATAAAAACATGGGAAAGGAGCAGAGGTGTTGACCGACTCCTGACTCAGGTAAACTCCGCCTCTGTTCATGGCCACTCCTCAAACACCAGTTGGCTCGCTTTGGACCAAGGTACTCGGCGGGCAAAAAACCCCTGGCCGTTGGCCCCGAGGGAGCCCCGATGAGGCCTGATTAAGCCCTGGAAGTGACAGTGGAAATGCGACTGGCCCTGGCACGCACTAGCACGATGGCTTTTGGCCTGACAGTGGAAACACTGCTAATTAATCTTGCTAAACAATTCAAGGGCTCAAGAAACAATTGTGACCTATTGACACATTACAAGTGGGGACCTATTTGCAAGCATTTTGGTTTGTGGTTATGAATATTGTAACAAGCTGCGAAACAGTGACTGAAAATTTGAAAATCAGCAAAAAAAAATTAATAACACATTTCAGTGCCAGAACACCCCTAATTAAAACATACATGAAACAAACTGTTCGACAACTGGATATGCCTCCTCTGCATTATTGCCGTAAGCTACTTGATAAAGTGGTCGGGACAAAATCGACCATGGCAAAAAAAGTCTTAGGGACATCTCTCAAATGTAAATGATGCCTATTTATAAACAGAATGTGTTTGTGTATAACATTGCCAGGGACTCACCGATGGAGCTGGTTTGCCTCCTTTGGCAATGCAGACCAGAGTGAGGTTCTGGGCCTGGTAGCGGCTGAATGGTGCTGGCGTGTTCTCTGCCACCACTGAGATGTTGTTGGGTGGAGCTGTGGGAAAGAGAAAGACATCGATAAACATTCTGCAGGGCCCTACGGAATCTGTTCTTTTTTTAATTTATTTTTTACTAGTGATGCACCGATGTGAAAATTGTGGCCGATACCGATATTAATATTGCTGTTATGGCCGATACCGATATTTACCGATGTCGATATCTCTGTATAGAAAACACCTAGCGAGGATTAGGGCTGCACGATATTGGTACAAAATGATATTGCGATATTTTATTTTTCTGCGACATATATTGCTATATAAACAGGGGTGCACATAACTGGTACGCAGGTACGCATGCGCGACATAAATCAGAAATGCGTAATGCCACTTGTGTTATTACGCGCCTTTGCGTACTTAAAGGGTAACTGTCGCCAAAATGCAACCTAGGATCTTTTTGTTAATCTACCCGAGGCAAACTTTCATTTAAAAGCATAATTAGAATGGAAACGCCACTTTTAAGTTTGACCGTATTTTCGTTTTCGGTCAAATTGCCTTTTGAATGGGAGAGCTAGGGGCACGTATATGATAGCATCAAAATCGCTATTTTTAAAACACTAAGAAGGCTCGACACAACATGAAACTTTGCTGGAAGTATCACCAGGGGCTCTACACATGAACTCGAGCATTGAGAACATTGTTTGTGTACACAGTTTTCTAAAAAGAAAGATAGTGAACAACTCACTGTAGCTGTGTCCGCCGGAACAGTAACACCCGCATTTTGTCAGTCAAAAATAGTCGATCTCCGAATGCGAACTGAACTGACTCTGAATTTTAGTATTGTTTCTTATATGAGGATCCTTTTTCAAATACAAGGTCAATATTGTTTTTCACTTACGACAAAACAACAAATTATCCGTGAATTTATATGGAACTAAGCTTTAGGAGCTTTCCATCTTTACTCTCCTCCCTGTTAAGTTGCATTCGGAGATCGACTATTTTTGACTGACAAAATACCGGCTGACACAGCTATAGTGAGTTGTTCAAAATCCTCACCATGAAGTCTAATGAACTACACAATCAAATTGCACTTCAAATTAAATTTTTCCAAAGATGTTTTCTGTCATTTTAGGTCGTTTTTTTCACGCTAATGTAAATTTAAGTGTTCGTTTTTTAAAATAAGTTCGGTCTTTAGTTAGTTATTTGATGCTATAAAAACGGGAATGTGATGTCATGATTGACAGCTGTGATTGACAGCTTCTACACTGAGGAGGACTGCACTTATTAAGACCACGCTACATATGGGGTGAGTACCAAACACCATCTCCTGGTACTCACCTGAGTAACTCACTGAAAAAGTTATGTGCACCCCTGTATATAAAAAACAATTTCACCAGATGACTTGAAGCTCTATTTGGAAAGAATGACTGGGGTGGTTTTGTCATGGAGTAAATCCACATAGAAACTAATATTAATAGAATGTTAACTAATGTAGTTAACTAGACTTTAATAAATGGAACCTTATTGTAAAGTGTTTCCGATTTATGTCTCTTGAGTTCAGTGTTGGACAGATCAGTTGTTTTAACCATTCATTAAAGTGAATCGGTTCAAATGAGTCATTAGTTCGCGAATCGGACGTGTCATTAACGGACCACGGCACATGTGTGATTATCCAGGCAGTTTAGGGCATCGCACAAGATTTGTCTCAACACAGAAAACATTTCATCACTAGATAGATTTTTTTTTGTTTATTGAAAGTGTGGTTTATGTCATCTGAATGTGTGGAAAGCTTTTCAGAGAAGATAAGGCAACACGTTATTTTAGCACAACTCACAACCAGCGGTAGTTCAGAAAAAAAACCTTCGGTCTTCCGACCTTTTACCATATTCATATTCAGTCAACTCAATTCATTAATATGCGCGAGGGAGGGAGAGAGAGCAAAACAGTTTGAAGACGGTGCGCGCGCGACCGGGGCTTTCACTCTCTCTGCTCGTTCTCTCAGTTAAACAAGCGCAGCAGTCAGTCATCTACATCACTCTCCGGTCAAATAAGGCTTTGGCGGGACAAAAATATGCCTTAGTGAGGCTGACAGAAAACAGCGCGCAAGTTCCAGTCTTCTTGTGCTTGATGTTTAAACTGACACGATTTGCGCTCGTAATGTATGTGCTCGTGCAAAAACAAACATCCCCGCCCCCACACTCACATCTAAACACACGTCAAATACACAGGAATGATTATCGGCCTGTTCACATCGGCCCTATTTTGACATCGGAACGATACCGATGTGTAAAAAATTGACCATATCGGCCGATATTATATCGGCGGACGATATATCGTGCACCACTATTTTTTTACTAAATTTAGGATTCAGTTTTTTCCTGATTTAATTTTTCTGGATTCCATTTTAGATTTAAATTTTAGTAATCCAAAATAATGTATAATCTATTGAAATCATGAAACTTATACAATTACATTTTTTTAAGGATCCGTGACATCTGTTTTATTTTTTTCCCAATTTCTGTGTAATTAAAATTTTTCTGAATTCTATTTTAATGGTTTATTTAAATGTTACATTTTTAAATTTTAATACAACTTTATTCCACACAGGCGGTAATTAAATTAATGCACAAGACAATTAAATTAAATTAATCTTTAAAAATGTAATTACATGAACTGATACTGTACAATCTATTGTATATTCTGAGTGCATTCTATTGTACATAGAATTTCTGTCATTTATTGTAATAGATTTTTGACACAATTTATTCAAGGTAAACCAAACTTTTATTTGAAATTAAATGCTTGTGAAGTGAACTCTCAGAGCAGCTCTGGAGATCTCTGGAGAGTGAAGTTCATGAAGCGTCCTCGTATAGTGAGTCGGCAGATACTGAAAACAACACAAGCATCACACGTGTTTAAGTATGTGCAGTAGACGAAACTGCCACGTTCATTCACAGACACACAGAAATAGCAGGGTTCAGATTTAAATATCAGTCTTATTGCGGTTTTATAATCAAAGACTAGTCCATATTGCATTTTGATTAATTGTACAGCCCTACTTTTGATTTCTTCATCTAAAATTGGCCAAATTTTGTGACATACCACATTATATAGTAAATTAAATTTGTATAAATGATTCTGAACTGCATTTCAGAGCTGCATTTCCTACGTAATGACATGCATAGTTATTCCCTATTAAGTGTTTGAACGCTAAATCTCCATACCAGCTTTAACATTCTTTGGCCTTTGAAACAGATTCTGAAATCTTGTGTATATCCAATGCACTTTCAAGTGGAGATGTGGTTGTGCATGGTTGGGGGTTTTGGAGCATGTCAGCGTAGCTTTATTCTGTCAATGGGAGCCCGACTTCTCATATGAGCCAGTTCAGAGTAAAGAAGCAGTGTTGTACAGAAAACTCTTAAGGCAAAAGAGGAAGGAAGCGGAAGTCTGGAAGATGAGAGGATCGTGGTAGGGCCACAGGGAGTTTCAAAGCTGGGTTTCTTAGTCTGCGAAGACTCTGACCCATCACATTGAAATGAGATACAACCACCTACGATGCAGCACCGCAAATGTACGGTCCTCGGGGTGCTGTTATAGTGCTCGGCATTCCAGCAGCTATCTTAAACATAAAAAGCACCGGTCATAAAGGCCGTGTGTGTGAAACCGGAGTTGTTTAAGACGATGTGTGAAGCTTTATGCATATAATATCAACCAAGTCCTGCCAAGCTCCACTGGGGAGCCATACGAGCATGTCATGACATCGGAAAAGCAGAAGCGTATATCTTGACCGCCTGTGGGGATCCATGGGGAAGACAAAGACGGACTTCCTGGTACTTAACGTAGAAAAGATATGACGCAGGAAGGCTTGAAAACAAACCCCTTCCCAGTTCTCCATTTGAATAGCCTTAATTTAAGCCAACCTGTCAGCCGGAATGAGCTGACTTTATCAGCTGTTCAGGGATGAAAAGGGGCGTGGGGGTTTATCACGTCTGCATTTTTTTTTACAAGCACCAAGCGATTTATGATCCCCTGTCAACGCGCCAGCGTAGGTGGGCATTGACTATTCAGGCAGCTGCATTATCACATAAAACACTTCCTGCAAATTCCCTTTCACACCCTGCTGAGACAATTGGATGTTGCTTCTGCTCAGTTAGGACCTGTGTTGAGTGTTTTTTTATTATTATTTTTTTGCATGTTGAAAGGATGACAAAAGGCATGTGATATCAGCAGGGGATTAGAGTGTTAGTTCACCCCCCAAAAAATGAAAATTTTATCATAATTTATTCACCAAACAGAACACAAAAGAAAGAAAGGTCGCTTTTTCATGCAATTAGCTTTCAAGCTTCAAAAAGGAGGCAAAAGTGTTATAAAACTAAACTAAAGTGGTCTACATGACTGAAACCGTGATAGTTTGAGGGACAAACAGACTGACAATTTTGTTTTTATTCACTGATAATTTTCCCTTCCTGTGAGCCCTGAACCACTGGCACCAGATTAGTGAGTCAGTGAACAGAACTCAAGAACCACATCACTTTGATTCGTTAATGAATCATTCAGATGTTTTTGTGAACTGGATCAACCGGTTCATCAAAATGATCAGACTCATACTTTACAAATCAGACAAAGCTACTTTTCCCATGTATTTGTGAATGGACACACAGAGGTTTTCAGTAAATAATGATTCATTTTTGGTTTGCTACTTATGCAAAACTATTGAATGGAATATACTTGGAATTTAACATTTTTGATACTTTAATGTTTTTTTGTTGTTGTTTTTTTTTTTGTCATTTTGGAGCCCGACAGTGCCAGTTCAGTTCTTGTTCACTTTCATCATATTGATCATACTAGCAAGGACATTCTTCAAAAAGTCATATTTTGTGCTCCACAAAAAGAAAAAGTAAAAAAAGAAAAAAAGAAGAAAAAAAGGGAAATAGAAAAAGAAAAAGAAAAGAGAGAAAGCCATACATGTTTGACAGTAGTTTCATTTTGGGTGAACTATTCCTTTAAAGAAGTCCCTTCAGGACATCTGTTATGAATCACTTGATCAATAACCCTTGCA